AGGGAAACTTTCCTGGAAAATGGTGTTCCAATAATCAGAGGCCGATTTGCTAAACTGTGGAGTTGCATAAAAATAACTTCTGATTGCTTGGCTTTTCTTTGTAGCAATAGTGGAAAACACACAATGCATAGTAGAAGTTCCACAGGAATTGCTGGTATGATGTTGTGTATTGCTTTTGGCTGACAGTTAAATTTCTTCATAACAGCTTGTATGGGGCTGTGTTTTGGATTAGTGATAGAAATGTTGATAACATGGGGATGTCTTAGCTATTGCTGAGCAGTGGTTATAGTGCCAAGGCCTTTTCTGTTTCTCACCCCACCAGTGAGTAGGCTGGGGGTGCACAAGAAGTAGGGAGGGGACGAAGTTGGGACAGCTGACCCCAACTGACCAAAGGGATACCCCACACCATACGATGTCGTGCTCAGCAACAAAACTGGGGATGAGGGCATCAGTGAAGGTTGGCCAGGGTTGCTGTTGCTTGAGGATGGGCTGGGCGTCAGTTTGTTGGCAGTGAGCAATTGCTTTCTTTTGCATCCTTTGTTTTTCTTGTGTTGTGTTTTGTTTTTTTTTTTTCCCCTCTCTCCCATTCCACTGGTGAAGCGGTCAGTGAGCTGCTCAGTGATACTTAGATGCCCACTGAAGTTTATAGATAGAAAAATAATTTATCTACTTTTTCAAGCACATAGGAGAGGGCTAGGAACATTACAACCTATCAAGCAAAGTAATTGAATGTGAGCTTAATTTTGTATGTTAAGTATGTTAATGATCTTTATAAAAGCATATTTGTAGTAAACTCCTTACTTTTTAAATTAAAAAAGAAAAAAGAGAAAAGATAGAAAGGATTTGAGATTACTTTCAAGGACCTGCTCCAAAAATTGGTGATTAAAGAAGGATAAGCACAGTGCTTGTGGCTCTGCTGAATTCAAGTGACTGATGGATTCTCTTCACCAGAGGTGCAATTTTCCCCTGAAGAAATGCTTCTTAAAGACCAATGCTGGCTAGCTGGTATTTATGAGAGAGTCCAAAGGGAATTACAAGTAGGCTGTTAGGGTTATCATTTACTCAGTGGTTTCTGCTGATATTGTAGCACAGAGATCCCACAGCACTTCTTCTTAACATGTGATAAATTGCGTACCAGGTGAAGGTAAGAAAGGAGCGAGGGCAGCTGCTGTGATGACAGACTGCTGCTTTGCTACTCCTGCTATGAACCCGCTATTTCTCCACCAGCAGTCACCAGCACCTTAGCTGTGCCCAGAATTACTCTCCTTGGCCTGTGATAACACACCTGCATGTTTGTGAGAGCTTTAAGGAGATGCTGGGTACATAGCTATAAGCAGGACAGTTTTTCTTTTGTATGCCAGCGTGGCTGTGACAGTACATTTTACGGGTACATTTGCAAAACCCTTATTGTATACCAGCTCCTCATGCAACCCAAGTGACTTCCAGTAGCTGATACAGAATAAAATATCAGCTAGTGTCAAAAAGAGGTACGTCAGCCTGCGCCAGGGGAAAGGTGTGTTGTTTTGATCTCTCCTAGATCTGTGACTGGTGACAAGAGCCCGTCAATGGGGTTGTGGTGCTGTAAGAGTAATTTTTGTTGCACCTCTCTGTCTCTAATTCCTCTGTTTTTGGATTAAAAATAGATTATTTTCTCTTCGTAAAGCTATTCAGGTATCCTGCATATTTGACGTAGCTTCCTTAGTTATTCCTCTTGGGGAAAAAAAGCATAATTGGCAGAAAAATTAAAGAAAAAAGAGCAGGTGAAAGTATTGAATTAAAGAACTTCTAAGTGCTTGTTTTGCTTTGCCATTTTACTACAAATGTACTTTTAACTAAAGTCCACCCCTAAATCATGCAGAACGTTGTGTCAGCTGTGTATAAGATAAAATATCTGGTGGGATCTGAAACAGGTTTTAAGTTGGTTTTTGATTGACAGAAAAATCATGTGCTTTGTTTTTACCGTACCCTTTCAGGACTGCAAGACAGTTTAGTGCTAATGATTCAGCTGTTATCCAGCTAAAGTAAATAGGCTGATTAGGTTAAGTAAGGCCACAGTCAACATCAGTTAATGCAGTGTTGAATGTGTTGCCTGATTGATATTAAAAAGAAAAAAGGAAACGCAGTGTCTAGCACCTTCATTTAAAAAACCACAGTGTTCCCCACTCAAACAAATTCCCCAGAAAATCCAAATAAACAGAAGTTCCTAAGAAAATCACTGTTAAGGTACTAATTATTACTAATGTCTCCTTTAAACTTGTTGTTGAGGTTTAAGGCTGCCTATCAAACTAAGCACCACAGCAACCTCTTGCTAAGAACCTCATGGGCTGAGGCAAGGACAGGGAGGGTTCACTCACCACTTCTAGTCACAGGCAAGAAACAAGACTTGACTTGGGAAAACACCAAAACCTCCCCCAATTTAATTTTTTAACAATCAAACACAAAGCAAGACAATGCAAAAGAGAACTACATCTTCGAAGGCACCTCTCCCCCACCCCTCCCTTCTTCCCAGGCCCAAAGGCTTTGTTCCCCATTTCTCTATCTTCTCCCCCGTGGTGGCACAGGGGACAGGGAATGGGGGTTGCGGTCAGTCCATCACGTGTTGTCTCTGCTGCTCCTTCCTCCTCGGGGGAGGGCTCCTCACAGTCTTCCCTGCTCCAGTGTGGGGTCACTCTCATGGGAAGGTCCATCACAAACTGCTCCAATGTGAGTCCTTCACACAGGTCACAGTTCTCCACTAACTGCTGCAGTGTGTCTCTCTTCAACAAAATTCCCAGCCGCCTTCAGGCACAGCCACTTCTTCCGGTGTGGAGTCCTCCATGGCTACATCTCCATGAGCTGCAGGCGAGTTCTGCTCTCCATGGGCTGCACAGTGACAACGTGTGTCACCATGATCTTCACCATGGGCTGCAGGGGAATGAATCTCTGCTCTGTCACCTCCTCCCTCTGCTTTCTCTTCACTGACTTTTGTGTCTGCGTAGTTGTCTCTCTCACATCCTGCTCCTCTCTCCACCTCAGGTTCTTTCACTAACTCCTATATATTCTCTATATATAGAGTAATATATAAAAAAATGTTTGTCTATTATTATTAGAGAGCCTTTGTTTTCCTAATTTCATCAATCACACTCTTTAAGATGAGACTCCAAGTCTTCCCATTAATGTTTGGATACTCAGGACTATTGTGGTTTTGATAGTCCTTATTGCTGCGTCTTTGGCTCCTCTTCAATGAGCAGATGTTGACCATGGATGAAAATGCTGAATTTACAGCTTACCTCTTTATTATTTCTTTCTGCTGGCAGCTTCTTGCAATTCTACTTTGAAAAGGAAATGAGCCATTTCAAGCTTTTACTGTCTTTGGTTCATACAGGTTGCTCTTTTTTGCTACTCCTGTTTGAGTCATAACAAGGAATGTGCCATGTCATGGGGCTCGAAACTAGTTACCTGTTGTGTTCAGTTGACTTGCAATCAGATTGGAGCAGCAGCTGGAAGAGCGATGCGGATATTAGCTTGGCCTGGAAACCCATCCCAGGTTTTGGAATTGAGACTCTGGGGTTGTTTTCTAAGTCATATGATGACTAGATGTGTCACCTGAGCCTACCTGCATGATCTTGGTGGGGCTTTATTTTCAATATCGCAGAGTGCTATGGAGCAGGGGAGCTTAGGCACGGTTTCTGCAACAGCTGTGGGCTACAGCACAGGGCCTGTTTGGGCAGGGCTGGTCGGAGGAGGAGTGGGAGTTGCTGGAATTGCAGCCCCTGGCATTGCTGCAATGGCCTTGGCACCCCAAGGAGGGCACTGAAATTGAGGAGCGATGGCAAAGGTCAGCAGACTCTCAGCGTCAGCAAAGCCTGGGCAAAAGCTCAGCCCTTCATTCATTACTGAGCAACCAGAGTGACAATGCAGCCTTTTTCCGTGGGGAATTTGTGGCCCCGTCCACTGTCCATTGTATTGATTTCAATGAATCTTAAGCACATACTCAGAATCAAGCACTTCTTTGCCTGGTGCCCTCAGGAGAGTTTCCTCAACTGGGGCCAAACATGTACTTTGTATGGGGCATCTTCTGAACCAGAAGGTCAATTAAAGCTTCTGAGGGACTCTGAAGGGATATTTTTAATTGTTAAAAAGTCTTGTTTTGTTTTCAGGCTCTGCAAAATAATCTGAATGTGTGTTTGTACAAATGCACAAGGGGAAAGCTGGCAATGGAAGAAGGTTGCTATTCATTGTGGTTCAGGTCCTGCGACTGCAGGCTCAGACGGATTTTGCCATTGATTTCAGTGGGCGCAGGGGCAACCCGTCTAGCTGTTCTGAATGAATAATTTTCTTTCCCCACATAAAGACAAAAGTAGCTGATACAAAATTGAGTCGTTTTTTGCTGATGTGGTATAAAACTTGTAAAGTTATTGTGTGTTTGCTTAACAGTTATAACTGCAGAGTGGAGGATAATTTCCATCCTTCTAATGGAAATCCTAACACAGAGTGGGGCACAAGTGGGACACACCTAAATGCCAGATCACAGAAGCGTTCCTGAGTCTGGTTGGTATTGTAATCTTCAGGTTAGGTGTATTCCACAGCAAACTGTCGTGTTTCATTAGTTAGTGTCTGGGCATGGGAATTATCTACTTCTGGGCTACTTCATCTCAAAACCCCATCTTTGGTGTTAATTCATCTGAGCTTAAACTATGTTTTTTTCTAGTTTATCTTTGTTTGTTAGCTGTTTTTTTTTAAGATGATCTGATGTAAAGTTGTTTTCAAAAAGATGAAGTGAAGAAACAGCACTATATCCTCTCTTTGGCAAGGCAGGAGCAGGGGCTGCAGCAAGAAAGGACAACTCCCCTCACCCTCCCCTGTCCTGGCAGGTTTCTAGGCTGGTGCTCTGTAAGTCTGTGTGTTAAACCTAAGGGTATTAATGATTGTGTGCAGGCTTGAAAACTCAGATGCTCTTTCTCTCCTTTGTTGCAGGAGGAAGCGTTTTCTGCTGCAGCATTGAGAAAGAGCAGGCTGGCATGGAGAAAGAGGTAAGTGAAGAAAAACCCTGTTTTAAAACAGAAAAATGAAAGGGGCTATTCCTAGCATTGCTATTTCATAATATTATTTGTAGTGTGATGGGAGGGAAGTCAGAAGACGCGTAGGCTCCTTTATATCATTGACAAGTCAAGGAGATGATTAACGAGAGTACCGGACAATGTAAGGGTAGGAGAAGGCCCACAGAAGTTAAACAAAAGTGCCTTCAGAATTTGGAGAATTCCCATGATCCATAGTAGGACCTCATTGTGCTTGTCTACTGTTTCTATTTTTGATTAGATTTATAAACACAGCACCACATATTTTCATGTGGCTCGTAGCCTCGGGGCAGAAGGAGATTGACTGTGCTGAAACTGTGAGGCTTGTGAATTTCGGGCAAGGGATGGAGTGAAATAAGTAGTGTAATTGTTTTTGTGGAGTGACCGTGGGACCTCCTCTGTTCTGAATTACACATGGTTCAACCCTTTGACCTAACCAACCTCGGCAATGCCTGGTAGATCTCCTAAAGCTGTGCTGAAAGGTCCTATCAGTGACATGTTGGAACATTATCTGTCAAGTGAGATGTGTGCCAACAACCATATTAAACTACATTAATTACTAGTGAGGCCATGTTTGTGACAATCTCAACTTAATTTAACCCATCATCATGTTAGTTATTGTTTAAACAGGAAGTACAAATGGGGACAATTTATGAAATCAAAATGCAGCAACAATGTTTTCTTTAATGAATTGTATGTTTTACTTTATTTCCCTTCTATTTTTTTTTTCCCCTCAGCATTTTTGTTCTTGTCATCAAGATCACTGTAGCTTGAGTTTTTTGAGGACTTTTCTATATTAAGAGCAAGCAGGAAAAAGAGTATTACTTAGTAACTAAACTAATATGCCAGTGAAATTGGTGTTTCTTTCAGTGCAATTGTAAATGATACCGCAGTTGACTGAAAGTGCCATGATTGTTTTCTGGCAAGAAGCAAACATGTTAAGGTAGTTTATGTAAGGCTGAAAGATCACATGTGGGTTATTTGCTTGATGTTTACCTTCACTGGTTTATGCTCCAGCTAGTGCGTCTCTGCATGGCAGTGCTTGCACACCTCTGGATCAGGAGTGAAGCATGCATTTCTCTTTAATTCTCAGAGAACAAATTCTCAGAGAACAATTTTCTCATAGGCCTGACCCTGTAGGATAGCAAAGCATACAGTGAGTCCTCAAAAGACAGCCCAGTATGTAGAAATTCAGAAGGTTTCTTTGGACATGATTGTTCACCGAAACAGTTTTGAATTTTACAGGGGAAGTGGAAAAAAACTCTCACACGTGCTCCTGCACGGGCAGTGTACACAGTCAGTCATGCCCAGCTGTGCCCAGTGTTGTATTAGACTGGACGGATAGGGTTATGTCTTCCACCTACACACTGAGCTCTTCTTTTCCCACAAGGCTTTTCCTTTAGCCTCATTCTCCACCTAGAACAGGATTAAACGAAGTGGGTATTTATTTATTTATTTTTAATTGCTGCCGAGTCAGCTAAAAAATACATTTGACCCTCCTAAGTGTCATTCTCATTAGCAATGAAGAGTTTGCTCTCTGCAAAATCTAACATGGAGTGCTTGAAGCAGTCAGGTGCAAATTACAAGCTGTTTCTCTTTGGCTGCCATCCCTTAAGTAGACAAAAGTAATAGGCTAGGAGAAGGGAAAAGGTTCCAGCTCCAGCTGCATAAAGGAAAGCCTTAACAGGGACTTAGGAGCTGGTTGCAAGATTTAAATGCTGTAAATACCAACTAACACATTTGTGTGTGCATGTCCACGGAGGAATATGTTTTTAGTAGGGCTCCATCCTTGTTTATGAGAGAGAGGAACGTTCTTTGAAAACTGTGCTTTGCTTTATGTTGAAAGGCTAATGCTCTTGCTGAAGTGAATGAGAATGGAAGCCAACATACCTGTTCCTGTTTACCATCATTACACTCCTTAGAGCATTTCAGGCATTATTAGGTTCTTGGAGCCTGACCAGATTGACAATATTTCCAGCTACTTCTCTTTTGGCTGTATTCAAACAAGGCCCCAAAGGAAAAAAAAAACCAAAACAAAACAACCAACCCACAGACAAAACCATGGATGAATCTGCTGAGCTAGTTTGCTGATGTTAGAAACAGTTGTTCATATTAGAAACACCTAATTTAATTTCATGAAAGAGACATAACATGCCAGTACGTGTATGAATCTAAGGTATGCATTTCCTAAAAGGAACTAAAACTCTGTCATTCCAAAGTTGCTCTTCTTTTTGACTTCCAGCTTGCGTGGGGACTGCTGTCTGGAAGCAGTAACTTTAACTTTAACTCTAAGGCTGCTGATGAGGTCTGTCTGTGTGATCTTCGTAAGCAGATAAGGGTAGGGAGACAGCTCAGAGCAGAGCTTGTTTACAGCAGGACAGAAGAAAACAGCTAGACATAAATGAGGGCTGACGGTTTCATGAAGCACAATTGGTTGATCACAGATTCAATATGACTGCCCTGAACTGAGCGATGATCCGTACAGTATGCAAAATTCACTTTCTTGCTGGTCTGTGCCCACCAGCCTTCCAGCAGCTTTCCCAGAGCCCCTCAGAGGTGGCTTTGAGTGGAACCAGAGCTGAATGCAGCGTTGTTGTACCCAATTCCTTTTGACAACAATCACATTCTTTTAAAAACTTCATAGGTTTTAGTTGTCACTGGTTATAAATGAGGGTTTTTTCCCTCACCATTGCTGCTGTTGCTGCTGCTGTTGCAGTGCTCGCTGCTCTCCTGCAGATCCGACCGAATACGGTGGGTTCTGGTACTCCTGGTTTTCCTTTGTTTCAGCCGGTATCGGAAAGCGGGCGGTGCGTTTTAATGACGATGGCATGCAAAAAGGCATTTAAAGGTTTAGGTCGCTTTTTGAATAGTATGGTGATTAGTCTGCACTGTGCTCAGACACTTCTGACTCCCCTTGTCTTTGCCATAATGTAGCACACTCAAGGTAAAAAAGCATTTAAAAAAAAAAATTAAAAGGCAAGACTTTTTGTTTTCCAACAGCTGTGAAGCTTTGAGGTAGGATGAACTGCTAGCAGCAGCAGCATCACCCTTTAAATTTGACTTTGCAAGCAAAGGACATCCCCTTTCGATGTGCTGGTTGTGGATGGACAGGTCTGACGTGTATTGTTTGGGGATGCAAGTTGGACCACCTCCACCGCAGCTTGGCCTCAAGCTGTGTCAGTTGGCTTTTTTTGGTAGGAATGCTCTTTTTATGTTTATTTTTGGATAGCGTTCTGTAATTAGAACGGTGGATTTCTGTAGGGGCGTGTGCTCACCTACAGTCATCTAGGTATGCTCACACAACTGGACTTCGCCTGCAAATATGGCAAATGGTCACTGAAAGAGTTTTATTTAATTTGCCATTGGAAACCCAAGCTTTGCAGGTGCATGTGAACTGATTAAAGAGCAATTGCTTTAGACATAAATTTGCATAAATACTTAAATTAACGAGTACTGAGTAATGATAAAATTAATATAAAATGCCACTGGATAATTTCCTGCCTATTCTCTGATGAGAAGGCAAAGTATTATAAAGGTAGGGGGGCTGGGGAAGGAAACCTAAAAAGGAGGAGGGAGGGAGAGTGTAATTTACACTACTTAAAGGTGCTCATGTATAAAAAAGAGAAGGATGAGGAAATTGGCCGGAGACAGGTATGAAAGGAAAATGTCTTCTAATTTCCTCTGAAGTACCGTGTCAAGAACATGTGTTGATTACACAAAGGCCACTGCTGAAGTACCCCGTTATTCTGTTATGTTGAGAAGTAAACCTGTAAGAACTCCTCTCTGCTGTTGAAAATCAGGTGTTGCTTTCATTCTAAAAATAAGAATTCATGAAAAGCACCTTTTCAAAATCTGATCAAATTAAGGGACAAGGGCATTATTTCTTTTGAAGTTTTTTGTGAGTAATTAAGTGCCTCAAGCCTGCACATCAGCTATTTAAAAGTACTAATATATGTTTGAGAGAGTGAAGTGCCAAAGAATGCAGTCCATTGTGTCCCTGAAAAAACAGCACTTGGCGCTATCTATACTGTCTGCTTTAAAACAAGAACAAAATCCAAACACACACACACACTCCAAAACATCAAAACCCACTGTACATCTTTATTAGGTAAGGGGGAGAAGGAACACTTTTTATTCTCCCTGCGGTGAAAGGGGTTTTTATGTTTTATGGACTACAACCATTGAAAGGTGACTATGGCCAATATAGCCTGCAATTGTTTTTGCTAGGGAAGTCTGACATGCAGAAGGAATACATGAAGTGGAATGCAGATCATCTTAATTCCATCAAAGTTATGGATGTATACAGGTTTACACCAGTTAAAAATTTGTCCCAGAATTTTTGTCTAGATGTTGTTTTCTTTAGCTGTTAACGTAAAGTTTAAGGGTTTATGTGGGGATTATATGCAGCATAATAAGAATAATAATCACGCAGCGATGTTGCAAATACTGCTGGAATCTCTAAAATGGACTCAATTAAAATTTTATGGTATGCAGGAATGCAGCCATACCTTACTATTGCAAAAGGGACATAATTCTAAAGATACTATCTGGGCTAATATATAATTGTGTAAGATTTTTCAGTTAGGAAAAAATCAGCAGCAGTAGGGTGAATTTCTGAACCTATTGAACTCCTGTCAAAATTATCACTGACTTCAGTTGTGCTGCATGTGGCTTGTAGGAATTAATTCTGTTATGGTATTTATTTACTGCAGTTTCTGGAATGTGCCTAGTCATTTTTACACATATTTGCTTTCTAGTAGGACAGTAGTGTTAATTTAGAGGAAGGCTACTGTTTTTAGACTGACATATACGTGTGTGTGCATATATACACATGTGAAGATATTAATATATGTATTAATCTGTCAGTGCTATGGTTCAGTTATTTTTGACAGATTTATTGATCGTGTCTGCTTCAAGTGTTGGTTTTTTTACTGGAAATTGACACCTGCAATCAAATGGAAAAGATGGATGCTGTAAAAACTGCAATTTTTCAATGATTCTTGTAATTAATCCTTTTGTATTGACAGTTTCCAGGAGCTATGTTGCCAGGAGTGGTCTTTATCACTGGACAATTAAGCAACTGGCTTGAAAAAATAATGCTATATTTGGAAACTGCCACGTGACATTCGAAAATAAATGGGTCTGAACTGTTTTCTTACTTGGGTTTTGGCCTTGATTAATAATCCCAGATGTGCTTTCTTTTAGGCAATTTCTGCCTGCTTTAACTGTTAGTGTCTATTATAGGAGTCGTAGCCACGCACGTGCCCACATGTGACTCTCGTGCTACACTGCTCAAGGTGTTATACAAAGATGGAGTTTAGTATTTGGGTCTTCCTGATGGTAGTAATGTGACTGAGGTTTTTTTTGAGCCTTACTTCCCCATGTGGAACATGTCAGAGTTTAGGTCCTCCAAAATCTACTGATATTTGTCTTCGCTGTAACTGTTGCTGACGTCTCTCTAATATTAAATGAGCTTTTCGTCATTGTAATGAGTCCCACTTCCCCTCTCCCCTGGACTGTCTCTTTTGTGACATCTCATTGTAAATTGTTTTTGGAGTTATTTTTATTTTATTGCTTTGTACAAAAGGGTAGAGCTCATTCATTTTTAGCTGCTCTGTGATGAACAAATGCACTGGTTATGTAAGTGGACCTAGAAAATAAGAGAACAGGGGATGTCAGGGAAGTGTGTCTATAAATATGCTGCATAACCAAACTTTTCTAAATGAAGCGCTGCTGTTCTGCAAGTGAAATAGAGCAGTTGCTGCCGAATGTGTACTGTAAAGACAAGGCTTATAATGTTCTCAATTTGTTGAGGTTTCTTTGCATTAATTAAAATTGGGAAAAAACAAAGTATTTTAATGTGACCTTCATTTGGCATTTGTTTTAACTTTTCTTCTCCTATTTTATTTAATTCTTCCACTTCTGTTGTTCAATTAGTGTTTGACCCCTTTAGCAGAGATGTAAATTAAATGACATTTCAATACCATCCCATATTTAAAATACTGTGTTAGTTGTGGATCATAAAGGATGATCTTCGTTCTTTAGCTAATTTATTCATTTAACAATTTCCCTCCAGAAGTTCCAGCAGAAGGCTCTGAAGCAAACTAAGCAGAAGAAATCCAAGTCGGCTGAATTTCTGATGGGTGAGCCTTGCTTGATGAGTTATTGCTCATAATTTGTGTAAGGATTAATTAACTAATTACAGACAAATGGCTGTGGGCGAAATTTTGCTCTTGCTTGTCAGGGTGCAATTTGTAATTATTTTAATCATTTATTCTTTTTTTCTTTTTTTTTTTTTTTTTTTTTTAGAGTTAATTTTAACCTAGTTCTGTTTTGGCGACATTTGAGGACGATACACTTGAGTCTTTCAGCAAAGGAATTACTAGAAGGAATTTTCTGCTTGTCATTGAAATACACTTTGCTATAATGTGCTCTTCTGACCTCCTTGTTTTCTGCAGTAAAAGAAGAGAGAGCAGCAACAGAAGGCATTGAAAATCCAGCTTTTAACATCAGTAGCACAGATCTTTCAGCAGATCAGCCTTTAGAAGAGAAAGTTATTCGACATGACAAGTCAGATAGCACCCTTGCAGCTCACCAACAAAAACTCAGGCTGCAAGCCCATGCTCAACCAAGAGGTGAGACATCAAACCCGATTAACCTCAAACGCAGCGACAGCGGTTGTGTTCCCCATCCAACCTGCGTGCTCCTTGGCCCACACTGGGCGTTCCCGTCCTGACACGTCCCAACAGGCGCCCCTGGAAACCTTGAATGCGAAACCCAAAATGCTGCCAAAAATACTGGCTGTCTAAATATTTAGACACCAGGGCTGTGTTTCCATGCTGAAGCGACTCCCCGTATAGGGGGGTGCAGGTTGGGTGGTGCTCCCTGCCAGTGGGGATGGGGGGAGCGCAGGGAGCGGGCGCTCGTCGCAGCGCTTCCCCCTCATTTGTGTCAGCTTGGCTTTTGGAGGCAGTGCAGCCAGTCCGAGCGCACAGATGTTGCTCTCCCTCGCTGGCTCCCGAGCATTGAGTAGTTTTAAACAGCTTACAGATCCATGATTGATTGTTGTCTTTAGGTCCCCCATATGCCCTCAGTCAATCAGCATCTTGCCTCTGCTTCATCTTTTGTTATTTATTTTTTTTTTGTTCAGCCAGTGTAGCTCAGATACTTGGAATGGAGAGTCCTGTTTGCTCTGCTTGTCCAGGAGGAGTGATCCTGGCTTTTAAGCTCAGCTTTGCTGCAGTACCCAAAAGAGACACCGCCTCAGGAAGCAGTCTTTGTTTATTATTTAGGTTCATTCACACAGGCTATAAGGATCTTCACTCATGTCAGTTTTCCTTTTGCAGATGTTTGGTGTCTTTTACCTATTGTTTAATTACTCCATTTTGAATTATTATTACTGATGAATGTTTCAACAAATGGTTACTTTTACTTAGTAATCCAATGAGTTAGAAGGTGAGGAAAAGAATTAAAGGCATTGTGAGTTATATGAAGAAAATCTTCAACCAAGATTTAATGTAGAAGAAAAAAGGCCCAAATTCGGACTCAAAATCTTCCCTAAATACCCATGGAAAAAATTACCTTGTTGGACTGTGTGGTCTCATTAACTTTAAGTGGACTGTGTGCATTCATAAACACGTAAATGTGCATCCAAGGTCAGAGACCTCCCAAGGTACCAAAGTAACTCACACGGCTTTGAAAAGTCCTTATCACCTAACATTTCCCAATAAACTCACAAGCCTGGATGCTGCTCCCTGAGTACCATTGCGTGCCAGCCCAGGTATTTAAATAGGTGAGGAGCAGAACTTCAGGCATTTGCTTTTTAAATGCTGGACCTTGTTGTGTTAAGATTTTATCCTTGTGGGACTGGAGAGCCCACGGCTCTTAATGGCCCCTTGGAAAATTAGGTTTGGCTTTCCATTTAGCCTTCATGTGACTCTGTGCAGCGCCGCACGGAGCAGGAATTCTTCGTCTTTCCTTTGCGGCCTGTCAGAACAGTGATTAAGCAGACAAAGGGATTGATTGTTTTTTAATGAAATAGTCTATCTGGCAAAAAATGAAGTTGAGCTCGCTGGAGACTATCCATGCTTTCAGTCGCCTCTTCAGAAATTCATGAATAGTTCCCTCAAGAAAACAACACTTTTTTTTTTTTTGTTAAAAAGCCTGAAATGTGTTTTTAAACATTTTGATTTTTCATCCTAAGTAGCATTTTGTTCAAAAAGCCCTAACTGAATATAATCTTTGTGAAAGAAATAGAAATTGTTACATTTCGTCTGGAATGAAATGCCTTTACACTATTTCTGTAATGGGAGAGGAAATCTTATTGAGAGTTGGAAAATTTTGTTTCCCAACACTGTGTCTTCCTCCTCGACCTCTGTTCATCCAGTTAACCAAAAGATCAGTTATTCATGTAGCTCTGCCTTTAAGTCATGCAGCTATTAAAAAAAATAGTCATCCATTTATACCATCATAAAAAAGTCTAGATTGGAAGGGACCTCTAGAGATCTTCTGGTCCAACTTTGCATTAAATTATTCTTAGTCTAACTTATGTCCCGACTTGTTTGGCAGTCACAGGGGCCAGTTTAAATTTATAAAGGGCTGCTAACAAAAAAAACAGCTTCAAGCCTGTCCAGAAACCTGGGAAAAAAAAATTGAACTAAATCTTCTGATACCTCACGAGCTAATTTTCCCCATTCCAAGTGTAAAAATACTTCATTAAAGAGCAAAAGGGAAAAGCCAACTGCAGAGGTAAGTGCAGCATCACACGAAGACTAGGTCTACAGGTATCTTACCCCTTCTTGTGGCAATCTGTTGTGGTTTGGGACTGCCAGAGCCAGTGGGATCGGTTCCTTGAGCCTGACTTCCTTTGCTTTGCTCCATGTTCATAGCTGCTGTCATTTCAGCTCTCAGCAGAAACACACGTGGTGTTGAAAACTGTCACCATCCTCTAGCATAGGGGCAACTCTTCTACAGCTGCTTCTCTCCTGCCCTGCAGATCTCAGGAGCCACTTTGCAGTTCACGAAGATCTTAGCACAGAAGTCTCTAGCCCGCCCCCCCTTCCCTGGGAGGCAAGACTTGCACCCACACTGGAAGATATTTTTCTAGAAGGGGGTGCCCACACACACCAGCGCAGCTTGTTGCCCCAGTCTTTACTGGTAAAATGGCACTCCTTTCTCCACCTCATGCCGGGCTTTAAGGGCAATGCCTGCCAACACACCACCACAGCCTGTTAAAAATGTGTTTTGGCCCCCTCAGCTACTCTCTTTCACTTTACCCCCCCTTTTTTTCCCAGATGCCAATAAAATACTACTTCTTTTGGGGTTTGCTCCCCTCCAGAGCTGTTGGATGCTCTTCCAGCTCTTGGGCTCTAGGCTTAGGTTTGGTAGCTTAATGGGGAATAGTGTTTGTAAATTCTAACTCTCAGTGCTAAAGTGTACAATTTAAAAACAGTTATAACCTTAAGCACAATTATTTAATCACAGCATTTAGCAGATTACAGGTTCAAAACACTATATAAACATTAGGCAGGATTTTCAGGCTATGCACTTGAAGGCAGGACACGGAGATGGCACTGCCTTTCCATTACCTTTCAACCCATCACCTGTGTCATTAATGGCAGCAAATAATAGCTACAGGGGTGCTATCATTTCTTCCATCTTGCAACAGTGTCACAGCCTGTTCCTCTGTCAGCAATTGCTGGAGGGAAGAGTTCTCTAGAAAAACCTCCACCTACTTTTGAGATGCCTTCTCACACACCTCCGTGCTAAGGATACAGGGAAGGAGCGTGAATAGTCACCTGTGTGTTCAAGACAGCCTTAAAACCTATTCCTGGAATTTGGCTATGTCTGCACAGGATGCTGCTGTGCAGACTACACATTGCTTGGGGATTGAATAGCCAGTGCAGAGGTCCATGATATTGCAGCTTGTCTTGCATCTGTCCCCTAAACAGCTCAATTCATAGGTATGTTTGTGCTATATTGACTTTTCCATTTCTTATTCTTGGTAACAGAACATCTCCTGAAAAGGAGAGTTTGTGAACTGATTCTTGTTTTCAAAAAACTGATCATTTTTTTTTTCCAGAGTATTTTTTTCCTGAGTTTTTTTCACCTTTCAAGACAGATTGGTGGAGCTATTCTTGTGAATCAAAGTGCAAGGCTCCTGCATGCTTTGCTTGTGGGGAAACTGAGGCAGTGCAAGAGGCCTTATCTGCAGTCACACTGCAGGCCTCTGGTGGAAATGGAAACAAAACCTCGGATCCCTAGTCCATTGCTCTGTCTGTTAGGTTGTTCTGCATCTCACACTGTCATATTTTCCATGACGGACAGTATGTCATATTTTATCATCATTAGTAGACCATTGTTCAGGAATAGGCCATTAAGCAACACTTTCTTCTGTATGCTTTCCATCAATGCTCTTACGTGATGAAGACCTGGTACTGCTGCTAAATGTTAGAGTGAGCCAGGGAAGCTGGCTGTTTACTCAGATTAATTTCTGGATTTTCAGCCAGCTAATTGGTTGCAGCGGCTTATTATAGAATCATTAAGGTTAGAAAAGACCTCAAGGATCATCAAGTCCAACCATCAACCCACACCACCCAACCCACTAACCCATGTCCCTAAGCACTACATCTACACGTTTCTTGAACCCCTCCAGGGATGGCGACTCCACCACCTCCCTGAGCAGCCTGTTCCAATGCCTGATCACTCTTGCAGTGAAGAAATTTTTCCTAATATCCAGCCTAAACCTCCCCTGGTGCCACTTGAAGCCATTTCCTCTTGTCCTATCACTTGTTACTTTAGAGAAGAGCCCAGCACCCACCTCACTGCACCCTCCTTTCAGGCAGTTGTAGAGAGTGATGAGGTCTCCTCTCAGCCTCCTCTTCTCCAGACTAAACACCCCCAGCTCCCTCAGCTGCTCCTCGTCAGACCTGTGCTCCAGACCCTTCACCAGCTTCGTTGCCCTTCTCTGGACCTGCTCCAGCACCTCAATGTCCTTCTTGTGGAGAGGGGCCCAATAGGCTTCTACCCTATTTTCTCTTCTTGATTCTATGCTGACTCTTTGCTGATTGCTCCTCACCTTCATTTTTTTCACGTAGTGCTCATGAAATTGTTGTCCAGCAACCGTCTTGTCTTTGCCAAACTGCACAATTTATTTGTTTCTGAAAGTACTCAGAGCTTCCTTGTAACTAAATCGAACCAACTCTCCTGCCTTTCTTTCCCTCAGCAAATATTGAATTTGCTGGAAATTTTCAGATTGACCATCTCAATAGGAGGTCCAATAGACAAATTTCTCTGAGAGAAATATCTGGGGTTAGATCACCCAAACCCACAGTGACAGGAACCTATGCCTACCTATTCTTCCCTTGCCAGGCACCTGATCTCAAGGTGAGCTGGATTTGGCTTTTGTCTTTTCTTCAGAGGAGTTTAAACCCCCAAAACACTTTGGAGAGTGCCTTAATGTTCAGGCTGGCTTGGTAAAGTCTCTGCCCAGCAAAGGGCTTCCAGCAAACTGTCATGACGGAAGCACTAAACCTCCAGGACCACACTGTCTTTGGCTGATGGCAGAATATGAGGGCAGTTGCTCAACCTCAGATGGATGATGTATGTCACAAGCAATCCCTTAACATAGGACTAC